CGAAAAGAGACAACTTTCCAACCCTCTCCCCCAAATGGGGGATGGGTTGCTGGTGAAGATAGGGGCTTTGGAACATGCCCCCTCACAGTCATCACTTTTCCCTGTCATTGCTACTTATAATGCTGTGATAAGTATGACAATCCCCATCTTCAAATTCTCACTAAAGAACTATGAGGGTACTTCAAAAAATTTGTGGAAAAGTAGAATTAAAAGATAATATGAGCCTTTTCATGAACTTTTTGAAGTACCTTCATATCTCCAATAAGCATCAAACTCAAGATTTGGTGAAAACGTCATTACCAGAAGATACTAAAGTGTTTACTAGATACTCTGAGAAGCAGTTGTTGGGAAGGGTCTAGTTTACACATGCAAAATAAACAAGTTGGGAGGTGAGAGTAAGCAGCTGACAAAACAGTATCACGATTAAACGAGTTAGCAAATTTGCTACTGCTACATAAACACAGGAATTTGTGTTTATGGACTATAAATTAATCTCCCCACCATATATAATATCATTCTTGCCTTGGTTAGAGTACAGTGTCATGCTTAGGGCCTTGCAATATGAAGACTTAATTAACTGAACTTTCACAAAGATGACTTTTAAAAAGTCCTAAAGATGACTTTAAAATAGAGGCAATAAGTCTCACGAGAAATAAAAATTTTAAATGAACATTGGTATAGCCCGAAGAATTGAAAGATGAGGGAAAGCTTTAACATATACAGTAATGTTGTAAAAATTGTCAGCTATTCTCTCAGAATAGGAAAGAAGAAAAGGCAATGGGTGTAAGGGAGTTCATGGGGATTAGATTAAATACCAGGGAAAGTATCTTGGGTTTCAGAATTTTGAAACCAACACTGGAACACATTACTAAAAGAGATATCTTAGGAGAGGAGAAATAGCTTTCTCTGTGTAATTAACTAATTGAATCGGAAATACAGCTTCATGCTTTGCATTTCTTAAAAGAATTTCATATTTATTTAAACTAAAAGGCAACTCACATCTGATAGAATTTGTAGAGCTGATAACAGTAAGTTATAGCAGAAACTATAACAATTGTTTCTTTGCCTTATGTCAACAATCATCTCAAGGAATCTCAGATATTCTCATTCCAGAATTAATTTAACTTTTATTTAAAGGATTTATGTCTCTGTACACTTTTGGAAAGGATGTGTATGTGTGTACCTGTGTAGAGGTAGTGGGATAGTACTACTGAATCAAAAAATGCTAAAGTGTCAATCTCCAAAAGAGTTATTTATTATTTTTATTAGGTTGTCCCTTTAAAGTACAATTTGGATCCTGAAACAAACTTAGCAGCTTTGAAAACCATGAATATCTACAAATCCATATCCTTTCTACCAAAGGAAAATATTTGATTTATCTTCAGACT